TTTTTTAAGGTTTTTTTTTTTTTTTTTTTTTTTTACCTTTTCATTTTTTTGATATTGGTGGTCTTGGTAAAGTTAGCTTTTCAGTTTCTGTTAATTATAATGTCTTAGCAGTAGTTTTTGTGCTTCCCCACTTTTTATGAATATATATATTTGGGGGTACCTCATTTATTTTTTTGGGAACTTGATTGATAGTATAGTTGCGACATGAGAGGTTGCTATCAGCCTGAATTTGCGGATATGATTTTTGTAAAACTCTTGAGTAGTGTTAAATATGATTTTTATTGCCCCGGTTGCAGATTCGGTCGGGCATCCCCTTTAATTAGGGATTTATCTTCGTAATAGCATGATTAAAATTGTGTCAAGTTGACAAACGAAGCTAATTATTAATGTTCAATTTGGTTCTGACAGATGTGGGAACTGGATCGTTGTTGGCTGAATTTTTAAGTTTATTTGAATGCAAATATACATTGTGTATATTTTTAATTTACAACTATATTAGCTTTTCTATTAAAAGTTATGAATTTAATTTTGAAGTATGTATGCTTGGGGATATGCATGGGTTATTATTCATTCGAAGTGTAGGGGAGATCCATCAATGGCTAGAATCTGAAGATAACGTGGGAAAATTATACCGACTAAAAAGGCGGGAAAATTAATTATAATGTGACACGTGAGGATAGGAAACCTTTTAATTCTTGTTTTAGAATCATTGAAATTATGACTAAGGTTTGAATTTAATATTTTATGTACATTATTTTAATCTTCATCACTAAGTTAATTTTGGTGGTTATTATTTTTTTTAATTTTTTAATAAAAATTATTGTATTTTTTTTTTCAAGTACTTTACTCATTAGGGATTGAGAATGATTTGAAATCTTTTAAATATTTCAAGAATAGTTTCATTCCCTTTTATATAGACAAAGAGTAAGTTAAGATATATCTTGTTTTTGTGTTGAATTGCAAATCGTAGTCTTCTTGTGTGTTGAATTGCAAATCCATGATAATCTTTTAGAGATGATATTGGTTAGACTTGATGAATATATCATTTCCTTTCAATATGGATAGTCTTTTCTATTAAAGGTTGGTATTGATCTTCACTACTTTGCATCTTAAGATCTTTTCCTTTAGTGCGGTTAGATGATTAACCCCATCAAAGATTGAACTCTTATATTAAACTGTGGAAAAAAGAAAAATACTAGGAAGCGGAGTTGAATAGTATCAATAAAAAATTCAACACTTTTTGAAATAGGGAAGTAATATCGTGACTATAAGAGTGTAGAAGAATAGAGAACTAAGAACACAAAATTTTTATATTGGTTCGTCTCAATTACTAAGACTACTTTCATTTCTTGATCAACTTGATCAAGTTCTATTAGATCTTTTACAAAGATACAAGTTTTATTTCTCAAGTCACTTTTCTTTTAACTTAAGTATTCTTTGATTTGTCTCTTCAAGAAACTATTCAAGTACTTTTTGAGCAATGAAGCTTCTTCAGACTTTAATAGCCAATTATTCTTTATTACAAAGCCCCTTCAGGTTTTAAGAAATAACACAAAGTTAAAGTTAAAAAATCACTCATTATTTCGTCTTACTTTCAAGACAAGATACAATCAAATTAAGTAAAAAGTTTTTTACAGAAAGAAAGAATAAATTTTTAAAATGATTGTTCTATATTCTTTTTTAGTCTTGAAACTTCTTTATATAAGTGTTTTATGAAAATGATTGTTACAAAATCATAAGCATCTCACACAAGGCATCTTCATGTATCTTCGTCTTCCTTCCATGTAGAGATAAAAATGCCCATTGATACATTAAATGTATTTTATTAAATTATTACTTTTTATGTGATCAAAGAGGTTACTTATCACCTTTAAGATACAAAACAAGAGAAGTTGTTACATGTGTAAGTCACAAATGACATTAGTTGAGACTTCACACAAGAGATTTGTTTGTTCTTTCTCTAATGAAAAACATGTCTTCGTTCTTTTTTGAAGTACAAGTACCAAATAAACTTATTCCTTCAATTTGTTAAGGAATAATATAGACAAAAATGATTTGATTATTAGACATCATAAATGATATATATTAAATCAATTCATCTTAAACATACAAAATGATTCATATGAGAGATTACATGTCATCATAACCAATCATCTATTTTAGTTTGTCTTACTATGAGATCTAAAAAAATGCTTCTTTAAGAAAAACGTTTAATTTTGTTAGCATTAAAATTTATGTTCCTAGGGACTTGAGATCGTCTTTTAATCTAACACTTAATTGTAAAGATCTTAAAATATTATATTCTTACAAGTATTCTATTTACTAAAACAAAATCATCATAATATATTAAAATTCTTTAATACGCATAAATTATATTCAACAAATGTAATACTCCATCCTGCCCATATTATAAAGCACTTTAATCGAATCACACAAATCAATATAAGTAGTTATATTAATTTTATTGGGTTATAAAATAAAATCATGAATTACCAATTTTATCCTTTTTACTTATTATTAAATTTTTCATGACATAGAAATATTACCTTACACTAAAATTTATACACCGATATCAACAAAAATGATAAATTTCAATTAGAGAGAGTTTGAGAAGTGACAAAGAAAAATACATTCTCACAATCTTTAATAGAGACAAAATAAATAAAATAATTTAATGTTGTACAAAAATTATAATATGTCCATAAAAGAACTAAGATTTTTTTTAAAAAAATTATGCTTTATAATAAGGATAAGAGAAAATAGTTGAAAAAAATTGTTTAGTATTAAGCAATTCAATTAGAAATGCAAGTTTTAAATTTTATGCCAATCCAGTTGTTAATTTTGGGGTCCAATATCCTATGCACTGGGCATATACTGATCAATACTAAATAAAAAAAATACTCAAATAATTTAAAGTAGACTCCCATTAGGATGTTTATTTATTTTATTTTATTTTAACTTTTACGTATTTACTTTGTATTATATGTCGATGCAATTTCATTATTCTACATAATTTGTTTTTAAGTATTGGAGACAGTGACCAGTATATATATTTGACGCCTTTGTGATAGAAATTCTAATCAAACTTAAAGAGGCACAAAATATATTTGATAAAGGAACCAAATTAATTAACATTATTAACATGACAATTATCATTTTTAGCCTGAAATACTCAAGAAAATTTAATATTTATTTCCCATTCTAATACTTTTTGTCATACAAATTTAGAGAAAGGCATTACTTATATGCACAATTATTACAACATTATCCGAAACCATTCCACCTAGTGTTGGTATTAAGGTAATTAATACATAGTTTAAATCTTGTGAAGTTAAAGTCATTATAATTTTAATATAAATATATTTATATATGTGTGTATAAATAAATAAAATTACAATCATTACCATGTAAAAAATGTTTTGCATGATAGTGCAACCGTCAATTGCTGTAGCAAATCTATTGTTATAATTCAGACTTATAGTTACCATAGATAATTGAACATTATATATAGCAATCAATATATAATGCAAACTTATTCATTGAAGGTATAAAATTATTTTGTGTAACAAGTTAATTAACATGAGGCCACTTTGATTAGAAACAATGAGGAGATCAACCAAACAAATAACATCACAAGACCCTTTTGGATGAAAGCTAAATGAGTGGTGAACATTCTCTGTTAACAATATGCACAAAGTAAAATAAATGGAAATATGTGAAGGAAAAGACAGAAACATGTTTAAGAGCTTAATTCAACAAGCCTTATAAACGAAAAGTTTTTGAAGCTTATTGGGGCAATGCTTGATCACTTCAAACACATCAAAACCAGTACTTATTTGGTTGCCACAGATACTTAATTTGGTTGGGAGAAAAGAGAGAATGTAACATAGGACTGCGTTTGGCAAACTACTGATTCTGTCACTCATGATTAAGAACGTTAGATGAAATGATATGTTAGGAATAATTGGAATGGATTTTATAAGTCCTTGACCCAACAAAGTGCTGCTTCAGCTTCTTAAAATCAATAACTCACTAAGTGCTGTCATTTTTGAAACGCCAAAATTTGGTTCAATTTTTATTAGTTCAAAGTTCAAACTAGGTAGCCAGATCCCCCCATTTGTCCACTAATCTTTACGTGTGTAGATTTTAGGTCCTTTACTTAAAAGATTATAAAAGGTTAAAATATATTTTTATTTGTAATAGTTTTAATTATTTTATTTTTTAGTTTTTATAATTTAAATTAAATTTTTTTAGTCATTATATCTATATTTTTAAATTTTATCATTAATTTCTTTATAATGTTATTTTTCTGTGAGTGACATTGACTTATTAAATCTACGTAATAGTATTGTATTTGATATCTTGAATGATAATATATTATTTAATGATATATTACGCATTCATAACAATTTAATTGCTTATTTCGATCATATTCATTCATAATGAATATTGATTATTCACAAAAATTATCTAGACTTCTCATTTCTCTCTCTCTTAAACTATTAAATGACACATCATTGTACACAAATTAAATACATTATTGATACATGAATTTAATAGGTTCTCGTCACTCATACAATTATACGAAAACAATGTTATAAAGAAATTAACATAAGAACTAAAACGGACTAAAAAATATAAGTATAACAACTAAAAATGTTTATTTTAAATTATAAGGACTAAAAGGTAAATTCAGTGAAATTATAAGAAATTTTTTTTTCAA